GCCATAACATTATGATTTTTTACAAGTGTATGTACACTTTTGACCACAACTGTACGTGCTGTTCTAGATGTGCTTCTGTCTGGTTTGTTTTGAAACTTCAGAAGGCTCTGGCCCGGCGGAGGGACACGTGACTCTGAGAAATGTGACTTTGATAAAGTAGAACAGGGACAGACTGGAGGCCCAGAAAACCAACCTCCTAAAACTGTGTTGCATTAGTCACTTAGAGAGGCTTCAATACGATTGGCATCGATGTTACATCTTAACAAAAGTAGCATTTTGTCACATTAAAACCACAAAATACAATAGATGTAGGTGCATCCAGTCAAATGGCAAATTTGACTGGATGTTATCCAATGGTATATGGTGTAGACACAAATGCATGTTGGTAAAAGAATTGAATGTTCCTGCAAAGCGGACCCAGGCTGATTTAAGAAGAGTCTTAAATCAGCCTGGGTCCATCAACCTGGGAAGAGCCAAGATTTGTTTTTTGATCTGGATCCATTTACAGGAAGTCGTTTTAGCACGTTGCTGCCGGGTTATGAGAAATGAGACGCTTGTTCAGAAGCAGCAGGAATTTTATTGTAGGTGAAGTAAAACACAACAAACGCAGAGAAAACACAATCATGAACACAAACCCAAGGGGAAAATGAAAGCATGTGGCTAAAACAAACAAAAAAATCGTAAAAAAAAGAGCATCAACTATCATTTAAATCACATAAAAGTGGGAAAGAAAACTCTAATAAAAAAATACATAAAACAATATTTAGAGCTTGTTGTCAATAACTGTTTAGGATTAAATCCAGTGGCACAAATCAAACATCATAACTATGTCTTCCATTATCCAAGTCAGTCGATGCAGGCCTGTCCACCATAACAGAGGCAGACTTCTATCCACCTTGCTTTTTTCACAAACCACAAGAGGGATGTCAAAAAGCCACTTTCATCCTTAACAACCATTATGTACCTGCTTTGACAACTGAACAACCATCATGATATTTCCTATCTGGCTTGACAATCAGAATCAGCAACAACTTTTTCATAAGCAAGGGATTTGAGGGAAGCTCAGAGTTCCAGGGCTTGTTGAAGATCTGAGTGAAGATGGGGGCCAGTTGGTCAGGCCCGGTTCTCAGACAGTAGGGGGGAAACATGGTTAAGGAGCTTGGTCTTCTGGTTCTGAAAGATCCAGGTCACATCTCCCTGACCGGTTCTTTGTGGTTGGGCTAAAGTGCTGAAATCAGTTCTCATTGTCATAGTTGCGTGACAAAAAGTATGTAATGTTCTTAACCTAATTCTTGTCACAACCCCACCTTTGACCTTTCGCCCTAAACTATTGTGTGATTGATCAGAATTTATTATCAACTTTCAGTAGCCATTTTTTTCAGCCACAGAGCAGGATGGGATGGATAGTTTTGAAGAGCAGTAGTCTGAGGCTGTGAGGATGTACAAATCGTTGAACTTCCCTTGCTTGGTTTGAGGGAAGTGAACGTCCCACCATCTTTTCTTTTTTTTTTTTTTTTTTTTTTGGCTTCCAGTAATATGGAAAATAAAGTGAGATATTGGGAGTTCATGGACTCTTCAACATTAGCCAAATCCTTCAGAGATCTAAAGTGGAAGGTCGGGGTCTGTGGAGGGAGGAGTGGTTGGTGCATGAGGAGTTTTCTTTCAGAGTGAAGGGCTCGACACACAGATACCGACAAACGACTGCAAAAGGCAAAAAGTTTTCTGCCATCCTTGGTGAACACAACACATGAGACGTGATAGCAGCAAAATTGACTAAAGTCGAAAAGTTTTCAGCTTTCTTATGTCACATGTCTACATGTACGAGCTTGAAATTTAATATGCATGAACTTTGCGGGTTGTTTAGTTGGAGGAGGTCAAGGGACTGTCGCCTCATTGCGCAAAAGAAGTGGATGAGTTGGAGGGAGGTGTGAAGGGCTGCCTATGAAATAAATTTTCAGAACTCTACTAATTGATTTCTCGTATACTTTTTGGATGTGTAAAACAATAGCATGGTAAATAATGTAATAATTGTACAATCTCTGTTCATGGCATTTGAAAGCTTGAGAACATTCTGGAGTTACTTTTAGTTTCAGAATAACCCATTGGACTGCCCCACTGCTGTTTTCCCCCAACAAACCCCCACATGACCCCCACAGAGCGACGGCTCTGTGTGGGTAACAGTGGCAGCAGACCTACTTCAGGAATGTCCACACTCTCACACAGAGTTCCTCGTGTCGGCCTCTGGTGTAGCGTCAGGTGACTCACTCTGCAGCGGTGGTGGTGACTGACTTGGTGACAGGGGAGGGAATCCTTATTGACTGCATGTGTATTTGCATGTGGAGCAGAAAACAAGACTTCTTTAGTGAATAATTTGATCAGATTGGTGCAGAAGATATTAAAGATGTTCTTTTATTGGAATTGGACATTAAATTAAACTGCAAGGCTAAAAAGGCTGAAGCTCAGATTTACATGTTCTGGTTACAAGTATTATGTGGTGCTTTAAGGTCTTTGTCTGCTTCCTTGATTCCCATCACAAAATCTGGTTTTAAGGATTTGTAAATTTGGGATTTTTGCCTCGTGGAGACTCTCGTGTGTAAACACAAAGTGCCTCCTCCAGACTTAGACTCTGGATGAGCTAATCCCCATGTGGAACCTCCCACAGTTGGTGGACGCCTGCTTATTGACAGTCTGGAAATTCAGGATTTAACCAGCAGGTTGCCTGCTTTCTCAGCAATAAGGAATACATCAACAACATGATGGGAGGTCCCCTCATGCGGCTATAAAGACGATTTTTAGGGTCAGTTTTGGGGCATCTTGGTCTTTATATGTCTGGCATACACAATGGAGCAGAATTTGTTTAACTTCCAAAGTGCAGATTGGTATCTCTGCTCAATGTAGATAGCACGGCGCTGCCTCCAAACGTTGCCAACGACACAAATAGATCCAGTTAATCCATGCATGATCCCGCTGCTTCTCAGAACATCCTGTCCCCAAACCAGCCCGCTTGAGGAAAGCACCTTTTGTCAATGAAATGACATTTGTGAAAGTGCCATCTGGACATGGGAGCAAGAGCAGCATTTGATCCTCCCTCAGGCCACCCAGCCAGCCGCCGTGGGGTCAGGATCCAGAATCAAGGCTGGCCCATGGGAAGAGTTCAGAGTAGAGGTAGGGCAAAGAAATCACAGGAAGCAAATGACATCCCAATGGTTAAAGCATTTGGACTCCTTAAAATGAGTTGCAATGACCTCATCATAGCCAAGCAGGAAGAGACGTTTAACCTAGAAGAGTTTCTAAAATTATCCCAGCTGCTGTACATTCAGGTTATAATTTGGCCTTGAAATAGAATATCTGCTGCTCTGGTGTCATCACAGCATCTGACATGCCACACTGAATTCAATGAAGAACTCTGTTTTCTTATCTGTCCTGGAAAAAACATATTTAGTTTCATAGAATATGACTAAATAAATCATATGTTCAAGGATCAAACCTGTTTAATTGTAAGATTCAGGTACAGCAATGCAAAGTAATTTTTGGCACCTGGTAGCAGCACTAATCACTCTAGTTTATTGACGTATAGTGGAACCAATTTGCTTATTTGCAGATTATTTTCATGTGCAAAAATCTCATCTATCAATAATTTCAAAATTCATAATTCTGAAATTATAGATTTTAAAATGAATATTAAATTTGTTTCATTCAAAATTAAAACATTTTTTGTTTTTATTTTGTTTTGAAAACAAAATAAAAACAGAATCTCTTGTGGCATTTCTGACTGAAATATATTCATCAACAATTTCTTCAGAATTGTGGATGAAGATGCCGATGGTTACGGGCAGCAAGAATTTCCTCTAGCAGTCTGTATTACAGCGGTTCTGAAGAAGATTGAAATAAAATAAAATATAATACATAAAATACCTTGGTAAAAATAAAGTAAAACCTTTTCAGTTTAAAAAGAGCAAACAGTCCATTTTTTTTATACTTTTTTTTTATTTGAGGTGCAACTGTCTAGTGCAATTGAAATGTCACATTTGTGATGGGCTTAAAGGAACATGCACAACACATGGACATAATTCTGCCAACGCATTTTTTCCTTTCCTCATGACAAGTTTCACATTATTGTGTTCAGCGCTCCAGTCGCACTATGAGCAACTTACACACTTGGCTGTACAAAAAGACGGGGAAAAAAAATTATTTAAAGTAAAAAACAAAAAACAAAAAAACAACTACACATGTCTCCAAATCAAGTGGTGAGTCCAGATCATTTGAGCAAGAGAGTTTGATGCAACAGCAGAGAGGAGAGTTCACTTGTCACTACAGGAGAGACAGCATCTTAGTGTGGAGGTTAAAAAAAAATCCTCTTATAGTCCCACCCTGAGTTCAGACATCACAGGTAGTTTAAAACCTGGTGAAACCATAGATATATATATATATATACACAAACATGAAACATAGAAAAGCCTCTATATATGTATCTATGGTTAGAAACCAGGCACTTGGCAGAGTTGAACTGGAAATATTTAGTCTGTACAAAGTTACCTACGAACAGTCTTGTCCTATTTATTCACCTTTTCGGTTATTTGTTTTAACAATAATTACATCAACAAGAGCAAAAAACACAAAGAAAAAGCACATCTTTATAATCTGTCCATGTTAAAATAAAAGCATCCTGATTCCATGTTCCTCCATTAGCAGTCCTCCAGGTTGTCTGAGTGAAGCATGGATGGTTCAGGTTGGGTGGCTGATGTTCACATCCACAATGGCACGCTGTGTTCTCCCCTCGTTTATCACTGGGACAACAAAGACGATTGTCTGAAGCAGGCAGTAAAGATGAAGAGGGGACACACACACAGACACACTCACTCACTCTGGTGCAACTCTAGAGCTTTTCAGTTAAATTAAATGTGCAACAAAAGAGTTTTCAGGTGAAGCCTCCAAATGACCTGAGGGTCAGTCTTTTAATGCTAATGTCCGTTCACAGTAAGTCAGCTTTCCTCCTCCTCCTCCTCCTCAGCTTCTGTCTTCCATCACCCCTGTCCTTCATCCTGGGAGAGGTGGGGGTGTTTGTTTTTTTTTTCTCCAGTGTGGGTCTTCTGTGTTATCCTGATGTGCCGGAGTTCTGTGCGGAGGAGAGGACCTGCGTGGGTCCGGATGGGGGCAGAGCCTGGGCAGCACCGGTTGGGGATCCGCCTGTCTGGACCTGGGCCTGGAACTGAGCCATCTGCTCGGGGCTGGCCAGCGTCTTCAGCAGGTTGTTCTCCTGCTCCAGCTGCGTGTTGCGCTCCATCAGCTCTTTGATCTGCTCCTTCAGCACCTCCACCTCCTCGCGGACAGCGTACATCAAGTGGCTCTTCACCAAGTCCTGACAGAGATGTAAACATGCTTCAGTCAGAAACTGTAACAGGAGTTTATGAAATAAACACAAAGTGGCATCCAGGTGTGGCTCAAAAATCAGACACTTTTACATAAACTATGCTTTATTACTCAGCATTTCATACAAATAATACAGCCTCATTATTTCACATAAAAGCCCCCGCCATGAACAATTTGTATTATTCTACTTAAAATGCTGAACTTTTAACATAACAGAATCTCTCTTTCTGATTGAAATATATTATTTTATGCCTCATTTTAGCCATTTGCTATAAGTTGGATTCATGTTAATGTGTATTTAAAAACGTAACATTGAATTTTATAAAAGGATTTCTCAGGGTGCACCGATTGCAGTTTCTGGCCAGTCTTTAAAAATCCTGAACTGCCAATTCTGATTTTGGCCTACACTGATTTTTTTGTGTGAGATTTTGCCAAATATAGAAAGGAAGTTACTAAATTGGCAACAGCAGGTTGACTATTGCTAACTGCAAACGTGCAGACATGACCTGTTGGGCCGTTCTTTTGGTCACACCTCTCACAGCAGACAAATGGATGACATTTTAATTTTTAGACATTTGCAGAGGTAGATAACATAGATGGATTCACATGCAAGTATCGGCTGATCCCTGATCTCCCAAAATTAAGAAAATTGGGTTTGATTAATCAGTGCACGCCTAAATATTTCATTATTAATCAGAAATATCATCATCCCCATGTAGAAAATTTCTGGCTTAGATCATTAAGCATATTCATAGGTTAGAGCGGTCTGGTCAAAACCCCTTAACTGTCATGAGGACAGCAGTGACCCATTAGATAACATGTAAATATTTTGGAGATGACCTCTAAGGGGTTAAAGTCCTGATTCTTTAAGAATCTGATTTTTTTCTCCAACTACAACTTTAATACACACGCACACTGCACTTTTCAGAATTCTATTTGGTTAAAAAGTTTGAAAATTAGGATGGGTTTTTCTTCTACTTGACAATTCTGTCCCTTTTAGTTAAAATGGGATAAAAATGTGAAGAAGTATAAGCGGTATGAATAATATGTTAAGTTTTAAAATCAAAATAAAGGAGATTTACTGACTGCTTGCATCATTTGATCATCATAATTGACCTTATTTAGTTCCTGCACATCACAGAACTAACTATGATATTAACAATGTGTTTTATGAAGATTAACAAAAACAGCGTTCCTGGTTATTGTCATGATGGTAACAGCAGGATTTGTTGGATAATCTCAGCATCCCCTCCTCTGTGGACCCCACCCCTCCTGTCTCCTCCTCAGCCACGGAACAAAATGTTCCTTCATCAGGATGGGAGGAGCCAACTGGCTGCCGAGTTATTTATACAGCATGGAGGGGAGGCTGCGGCTTGCCTGGCAACACTGGAGGAGAGTAGGGCTGTGTGTGAGAAACAGGAGGGAGCCTCCAGCCTGGCCCACACTGAGCTCCAAACCAGGAAAAGTCCAAACAAGCAGGTTGCAGAAACAAGCTGAAAAAATTAAAAGCACAGAAGCCCCCCAAAACAAAACCACCACACTGAACCGTAAACAGGACAGAATCCAGTGGCAGCATCTCTGCATCACTGAAGGGGTTACATAAGACTCGTGCAGACAGAGCCGCCAGCTTACCATAGCCTGCTCGATCTTGTTGTCGATGGCCACCACACTTGCCCCTGAAGAGCTGCGAGAGAAACAGAGAGCAAAAGAGAATGATTTAACAGAGGCTGAGCACTGAAAGAATGAAGAAGAAATGAGTCTGATCTTAGCAAGCAGAGTCCTGATTGGCTGCTACTTTTTAAAATAAAATCTGTTTCTATGAGTGAATGTTGAAGCCTGTTTATTTCAGTGGGGTTGGGTAAAACGAAGTAATTCATTTCAGAAATCTGATTCACAACAAGTATATTAATGCAGCATAGTCAATATGGCAGACGTTACCTATTATCAACTGTGACTGTAGCACTTTCCTTTCCAAGCACAGAGGACAGAAACGAGATAGAGAAATTCCTCAGCTGACAAACACCAAGGTCCATCGCCACCGTGTAGCATTGGGAATTCATGCTATCCCACCCATTTAAAAGGCCTGGAGGTGGCAGAGCGGCTGGAAGAACCGGGAGACCAGCGGTAGAAAAGTAGAAAAAAAGCGCATTATTTCTTATTTCAGCCCCCAGCGTCACACCTCTGGGGCGGCTGGCTCAGTTGCAGCCGGGACAGAGTACACAAAAGACTGAAGCGACGGGTTGCTGCTGCTCATAGTTCGGCTCCCTCTCCGGGTAATTCATGCGGCAAAACAGCGCATGCAGCTTCGTCATTGGCTGAGAGGGGGAGCTCATTAACATAATATATATGCAACAGAGACACTCCGTGTCGGACTGTGGAAGAAGTTGCTTATTGTAATAATACATGTGCCATCTCTACACCTGCTTTACCGAGAAAAACAAGCTCCTGGATCACTAAAACAAAAACTGGACACATGATGTCTCCTTCATATCGATGCACCCGCTTTGCTCTACTCTCAGTCTTGTCTACCGGTTTTATCCCCAAATACAAAAACGTTTGTTCAGCACTACAACGTTGGCAGGTGTAGCGATGTCTCCCCCTGCTGGCAGTAAGTTTTAACAACAAAAAGCTGGGATTAAACAGACTTTCATCTATTTAACAGAGTTTCTATATATTTTTGTCTTCTGGACTCCGTTAAGCAGACTCTAAATTCTCTTTTAAAAGAATAAATCAAATGGCATAATATTAAGGCAGATTTCTGTATAGTGCTCAGGGTTTCAATATGACACTAGCAGGAAAAATACTGAAAAATTTGCCTATTACCTATGTGTGATTCAGTATTCACAGATTTTTCTGATCATATCTAAAATCCATCTTTTTAAGGTGAAATACATGGGAGCAAAGCTACATGACACTACCAGCTGGTATTTGCAAAGCAGCCAATCCTGGAGCAAATTTATTTTTGATTTGCTATATCCCTTAGAGCAGAGATAAGGAAACCAGAAGCTAGGTTCTGTAATAGAGTAAAGATGGTTTCTATAGTGCAAATTAAGGTATATTTATTGTTTGAACTATTAAAATAGGCAGTTATGAGTTATAAGTGGTGTCTCGAGTATTGGCAGAAGAATATAATAACATTCTAGTAATACTGTCATTTATTGGAATTTGAGAAAAAAGTTGAGTGGAAAGAAAAAGTGTGGTAGGAAACAATGCATCAGCAAAAGAGATAACTGTAGCTTTCGGAGGCTTGTCAAGCTAAATCCCTTTAAGGAGGTGGGGGAGTTTCTCAATGAGTGGATGGAGTCCCACACATGGACTAAGAACCTGAACTGGACTGCTGCTTAGTGGACCAAAGTCTCAAAATATTTATCATTTGAAGAGATTGAAAACAGTAGACATGTCAGATGAATGTCTCTGAGTTAAGAGTCGACAGCTTGACCACATTAAGGTGTGGATTGTTGGCGTTCCTATGGAAACTAGTCAAACAGCACACAAAGAAGAGGAAGCACATTTTGTGTGAGCAGCTGGAGTTGAAATAAACAGTCAAACTGAAACCGTCCTGCACCTTTTTTCACCCCTCACCACAAACGCATGTCAACATTCAGTCAGAGTGGGCATCTAGCAACTGGTCATTCATGCATTTCGTAAACTTTGATTCACATCTGAGCTCACTTCAACCACCTGCTCCTGATTCAAGCACCTTATTGAGTTAAATCTGTCCGTAACCATTCAGGCCTCTGCCAAACCTTTGAAGACTGTCTGCTGGTTACTTTACCACAACACAGCTACAAAAACCAGCCAGATATAGAAGGGCTACATCCCAAACATACATTCATACTCCTTGGTCTTTGCATGCTGTGCACATTTATACTGCAAGAAAAATCCAAGCCAAGTCATTTTTGTTGAGTTTCATAAAATCAGTCTAAAGCTATAGGGCATTACTTTTCATCAACCTCAATGTGGTTTTTTAGGAGGACTTTATATTATAGAACACAACTAAGCAGCCACGATCGTGAAGTGGAAGAAAAAAGTGACATATTAAAATCCTTCTTGTTTTACTCTGTTACTTCAAAATACAATCAGTTGCAGAACAGAGAAAACAGCATATCAGCCAACCAATAAGTCAACTTGATTTCCTTAATTATGGGCGATCAGCCAATACTTACACGAGAAACCGATCTTATCTGCCTTATAAGCCACTGTCTCCTTTTGCTCTGCAGCGGGAGAGGACTGACTGACGAGTAACATCACAGTTAACAATAGTCACTATACAACTCTGGAAAAAATTAAGAGACCACTGCAAAATTAACAGTTCTTAGATTTTACTCTTTATAAGTATGTCTCTGAGTAAAATGAACATTGTTATTTTATTCTATTAACTACTGACATGTCTCTGATATTCTAAGCAAAAATGTGTTATTTGTAGAAAATGAGAAATGGTCAAAATAATGAAAAAGATGCAGTGCTTTCAGACCTCAAATAATGCAAAGAAAACAAGTTCACATTAATTTAGAAACAACAATACTAATGTTTTAACTATGGAAAACGTTTGGTGGAAATCAATTTTTGGTGGAATAACCATGTGGTTTTCTTAAAATTCCAATAAAAGTCAACTAAAGTTTGTGGTTTTAATATGACAAAATCTAAAGAAGTGAATACTTTTTGAAACTACTGCACTTCCATAGAGATTGGATGAAAATAAGGAATGATTTGATGTTTCCTGTTGAGATATAAGATTTATTTAACTAACCTCCAGAGGGTTTGCGATGTCCAAAGGAACTAAAACTGTCTGCTGCATTCCTCTAAAAGAAGCAGTTATATTTTATTCTACTGTGGACGGAGATAAAGTACGGAATAAAAAGAATATGTAGGAATATGTGGTTCATGTTAACATGTACATGAAGTCTGGGACTTTGGAGAGTGTGCTTAGAGATAAATAAATCATTTGCGGAACTCAATTCTTATCTTTGACAGTTGTGATTAACTGCTGCAACTGAACCTACAGAACAACTGAACCTTCACACACTCAAAGAAAACATGTGGAACATGTGCAGAAACAAGAACAGAGTGTGCTGAAAGGCAGCCCTTAAGGGCTGGATCATGCAGAGCGGATGGATGTGTATCTCTTGTTGCAGACGCAGGCGGGCGCTGCATCAAAAGGCTGCAGGGAACTTTAATACAAATGTTTCTGCTTAGATTCCAGGACCATAATGAAAACAGCCATGGTTACCTCTTCAGATGCTTCTCAAGCTCCCAGAAGAGCAGCTTAAGGGCCTGGGCATCCTGGCCCCGTGCTGCTGCTCCTGCTGCCACCGTCAGCCCCTTCTCTCTCATTGATGCTTAAGAAATCACAACGCAGGACCAAAGCACCCCCCCCGACCAACACCTACACAACACCAAAACAGACCGCAGTACCACCTCTGCCCCCTTCGGCCCCTCGACCCTGGCTCCCACTGAAAGCTGAAGGAGCTTCACATTGGGGAGCCTGAGCAACAATAGAACCCAGGATGGATGAGGAAGGGAGAAGGAGGAGTGAGTGCGGGTGTGTGTGTACAGGGGGAGCTCATGTTTGTGTGAGTCTGGACATATATAGTCTGTAAGATGATTGGGTGAGCAGAGAGGAGACCTAGGCAGTGATGTCAGCTTTCTTTCTGCTGTTACATAAACTGTCAGCAAAGATTAGACGGATCCGTCCAATAGGATGTTCCACTGTTGACTACGTCACCCATAAGCCCGCTGGCTGCCTCAGAAGAACGCCTCCACCCACAGATTAGCAGCAGGAAACAAACTTTAATGTTCCCAGCATCCTCCACACACTAAAAGACCTCCAACAGATTCATAGACTCCCCAGCAGGAGTTCCGTAGGTCTCCTGCTGGGTGGTCACTGTAAACGCCCACAACAAGGGCTCCAAGTGTTCATATTGAATGTTACTGACAGGTCGTATTTAGTCAACCTTGCTGAAACCAACATGTTTGTACACATTGTACTCGCAAGTCTGGGATCAGTTTGCACATGCTCATTAAGGTAAAAAAGGAGGGGAAGCCTTCACTCTGTTTGCCTTCAGCGAATCGCTGAACAGAGATGGTTTGGTCAATGATGAAGCAAAGCTATGTGTCATAACTTCACATGCGGCACACTTGTTCGGGCAGTGACCCATATATTACATGAGCAAATTATTACAGCATATTGCATAAGAACACTGGACTCTGTAAGATAACAGCAAATAGATGATTTTCCACCATTTTAGGAGTTTTTTTGGGGGGTAGGGTAAACAAAATCATGAAGTTAACATTTTTACATTTTAAAAGACAAAAACCTTGGTTTCCTAACATAAACTTTAATAACAACATTATTCCTGGACATTTCTTGCATTGCTTAAAATAACAGGAAGAAAAAACAGAGCCAAACATTTAAAACTGACTTTTAATTTAAAAACAATTTAAAGCCAATTTATGACTACCAACCAAAATCTATTCTCTGCTTGAGTGGCCATGATCCAAAGGCCCAAAGTTAGTCAGTTTTGGTATCATAGCAATGTTTAGAAAATAAATTTGAGGAATCAAACATCAGAAGCTGTTGTATAAACAGGCATGTCAGCCGTCACTCAGGCTAGACTTCGGTGAGTACCGGTTATTTCACAACTTCAATTTCTGTTTTGGTTCTTCCATCAAATATCAATTCAC